TACTTATTGTATTTTAATCTTGAAACTTATCGATTACTTTCTAATCCAGCTGCATTGTACAAAGTTGACTATTAAAATAAAAATGTAAAAAAAAAATTAATTTTAAATATATGTATGATTATAATTTAGATCTGTTTATTTAAAAGGGTAGTAAAATAAAAATAATTTTTCTAAAAGTTTATTACTCATTTTCTGATACGCTTTAATTGTTTTTTTAAAACATCTAGCTGCTGTTTATTATTAAAACTTAAATAAAAACGAAACATGAACATTCATTCAGTTCATAAGACATATTGTAAATAATTATTCAGTGATTCATGATAAAATAAATAAATAATAATAAAAATCTTTGAAATATATATTTAAAAGTATAAAAAAAAATATTTTGCATATTTCTTATGTAAAATTTGTAGATAAAATTATTTTTTATATTCTCTCTCAATATGAACAACAAATGTTAAAATGTGTCATTTTAGTTCACTTAGTTACAAATATTTAATAGCAAACATAACAATATTTAATAATAAAAAGAAATTGCAATTATTGCTTCATATTGCATTGTTTATATACGAACTACAACAAAATAATTTAGTAATGACTCATTTCAATTTGAATGATTAAGTAAAAAGCATACTAATGCGTTTTTTTTCTGTTTCCAGCCGATTATTCTAATCGATTTAATACAGATAATTTTACAGATAACTGCTGTTTTGTTTATTTAATTTGCACTAAGTTTTATGCACTATAAAAAATACAGAATGTTTTGCTTTTACTATTGATATGATAAATTTCGTTGACCCTTGTATATAAACACTTATACAGATTAGTCATAGTTTGATATGAAATTTTAATAATAGTGTTTTTCAAAATGTTTTATTTAATTTTACAATATTTATTTAAAACTTAATTAACAAGTTATTTAAATAAAGTTTATTACTTTAACCTTGTTTATTCAATTAACACAGTGTGAAATAAATATTTCAAGTTCTGAATATTTACACATTGTAAAATTATTTTGATCAATAAACCTTATCTCATTTGTTTTACTACTAAAATTTTCATGGTACTTAAATTTTACAACAGATTTTTGGTTAATTGCAATAATCTGAGCACAATTTATCCACTCCGTTATATGTCTTCTTTGCTTAATCAAATACGAGTTTGTGTCTAAAGCAATTTTAGTCAATAGTGCCTATGACCACTTGGATGTTCCACTGTAATAAGAGCTATGTTGTATTCTGATCACTTGGATAATCCACTGTAATAAAGGTTCCATTAAATTCTGATTGAATTTTGATAATCAGTTATTCAGATGATTTTATAGAAGTATATTTTAAAGCCCTATATTTGAATCTCATCTTTGAAACATCAGATTTAAAATCAAATTTAATCCCAACATAAGACTATCTATAACCATCTACCATAAAACGAGAGTAAGTTAACTATAAAAAAAGTTGACAATAATAATTTTAAATCCACAATCCATAATATTTAATATGTTTTATTTTTTTTAAATAATTTCCACTAATTTCTATACATAGATAGTGGTTTGCTAGTACCACTATCTACAACAGTCCTCATGGTTAGAATTTGTTAGATTTTCAATATTATAAATTATATTGTCATGAATGCCGAAAACCTTTCATATAAGATTTTTTATTATATTTTGAAATAATTAGAGTTCGCAAGACGATAGACCCGGAGAATAGGGTAATAATTTAATATTTTCACAGGCTTAAGGTTGCTCCGTAATTTGTAAAGAATGGCGAATCAAAATCCTTTTTGCGATATCAATGGAATTTTTATCGACTCTTTGTCATTGACTCTTTGTGATATCATATGGCACTAGTTCCGGGATATATTCTCATTAAATATTTTCGGAGGCTTCTTGCTGTAATTTGATCAAAATTTTGTCGACTTTTTCCTTTTTTTTTTTAAGTTATCATATGGTGTTAGGTCCGTGGTATATATCACTTATTAAATATTTCCATAAGCTTAACAATAAGCTTAAACCCATAAAGAATGGCAAAGTTTCCTTTTTCTTGGTTCTATTTTGACTGCTTGCTTTATACTATGCTAAATCGGCTGCAATTTTTTTTTTGATTTGACTGAATTTATTCCACGTTGATAACAAAGTCAGGTTTAACAATCCCATATCTCGTTTTTATTTTATAGTAGTTGTTAATATAGTAGCTGTTTAAAGTAAATAAAATACAATGTTTGTATTAAATGCTATACTATGCTCAGAATCTAAGCATCCATCTGATTCTCTGATGGTGCGATAAATATATTTAATGGTTTATTAAATTGAGATATTTGATAACTGTTCGCACTGTTCATAATTAAACAACATATAACAGTTGTTAAACCCGATAAAATATGTAGCAATTTTTAGTATAACCACAAGAGCTCACATAGTTTTTCTATAAATGAAGTATCAACAATTAAAACTTCCAGTCTTCCTATCGTTATATTTATTAGTTGCAGCCTTGCAAATATGTACAAAGGTCTTCTGTTTTAGTTAGTATGATCTCTGCAAAACTCATGTAATTAATTTTTTAATAAATACAAAGCACTAGTTTAGCTTTTATTCTTAGCTAAAGTGTTAAATATTAAACTATATTTTATACGTTGCCAATTGTATATTAAATATCTTCAATAAATTTACTTGAATTTTATTGATTATTATCTAAACGTGTATAAAAATCAGATAACTTAATTAATCTAATAAATCTTATCTGACATTTTCATTTGTATTGCATTATATACTTTCATATATATATATATATATAATGCCAATATTTCCTCTTTATATATATTTTTGATAATTTCATTACATAAATATGACCATTTGAAATATTTAAAAATATTTGCAATCCCCTGAATTTATTGAGGACTACAACTATGTATGTGCAACAAATACCCGTACATGGATCTCCCATCCAATTTTAGCAACAGAAGCGGAAAAGTTGCTTGTTGCAAAAGTTTTATAGCAAAGTACATTGCTAATTGCACGGTGTCAAGTTGGAATGTTCAAAAATAAATTTTACCAAAACTTTATTCGAAATATTTTTTGAAAAACATGTTTTTTTAGTTTAGTGTAGTTTTTGGTTCTATTTTTAATTATTAGTTCTACTACATATTTTTGAATAAAATTGCTATAAAAAGTTTCAGCTTGGTATTTCTAGTTTTACTAAATTTGGAAAAGTTTTATTTAAAAAGCAAAAAATTATAATGTAAAAATGAAATCACTTTGTAATCATATATCTTAATTTAGAATATAATAATGAAGTTGTATTAAAGTTTCACAAATCCAATGAAATTAATTATAGTTCGGAAGCAAGAAGATAATTTATCTGTTTAGTGAAACAATATATCATATTAAAAAATCATTAAAAATATATAATTTATGTAATGAATTTACCATAAGAAATAAATTAAAAATAAATATATCAATATATATTATTCTATTTATAGATAATTTAAGAAGATAATTTATCTGTTTAGTAAAACAATATATCATATTAAAAAATCATTAAAAATATATAATTCATTACATACTATTTACCATAAGAAATAAATTAAAAATAAATATATCAATATATATTATTCTATTTATATTGACTGTTAATCTTAAATAATTAATGTCCTTATATGTTTATAAGTGAAGCCATTCTTATGCCCCACACAAGTAGATTTAAATCTAAAGGAAAATGTAGAAAACCCTAAATAATAGTTAATTTGTATATAAATTCACAAACCACTTTATCTAAAGCAGTTTTTATCAAATTTTTTTGTGGTATGTCCTACTTAAGACTCAAGGTGTTGAATGGTCCTTCTACGTAACTTACAAAAGGAGTCTTCGGAAACAGATTACTTCAGATCAGAAGTGATCAACACATCCCTTTTCGAACGATGAGATTCTTCACCTTACCGATAAAAATTTTTTTTAATTTACACGTGCACTTTATTATTTCGTCAAGTTCGTAAACATTTCATGGTCGCCATCGTTCCAAACTTATTTATATCGATGTATGTGCAATTTAAAACACATCCTCTTAACAACCTTGTTCATCACCCCCTGCGAATAAAATTTCTCTTATCAAGCGGATATAAAACTTTTATTAAAATATTGGCTTTATTAATAAGGCGTTCTATACGTTCTATGAACTTCAACTTAGATTATAGTAAGACTATTTCATCACTCTTTATTTGTGTCCCTTAAAGTAAGCCTCATCAGATGTAACATGCATATGACATAATTAATTCTAATCTACTGTTTCTATTATGGCCACTGCTTTGAATTTTGTTAACACGGTTTAGTCATCACCGGCATTCCCGGTCGTTTTACTTAACCAAAATGGTTTTTCTGTATTTATAAGTGCTGTGACAACTTGATACCTAGAAGTAGCTTCAGGGACTTATCCCTTTTACGATTTAAATCTTTTGGAACTTATTAATTTTAGGATTTATCTCTTTTGTCAATTAAACACAACATATCCGATATATAAAGCATATGATGATTATATTATATGTATTTTATATGTACGCATCTGAGAAAGTATATAGAGTATGAGTACGTCTTCAACCATTCGGTTTACAAATTCTGTTGCAAACATAAGACAAGGATTTTGTTAAATGACTTTATACATTTTAAAAATTATAAGATGATATATAGGATGCATCTATTAGTTATTATAATAAACTACTAAAGAGATAATGCTCTTATGTGGTATTAATAAAGTGCTACTTACGAAAAAAAACTTTAACCTCAGTCTTGTCAACTTCTCTTGTTTTATGTTAAATACTTTTAAATAACTTTCAAATTCTCTTAGATAATTTTAAACTTTTATAATAATTATCTAAATTAATAAAAGTTAATTAAAAATATTTAAAAAACATTTAATTTTAATACATTTTATTTTAAATACTATTTATTTCTTCCAAAGTTCATATCCTCATAATATTTTATAATGAGATGTTTATGTTTTCCGTTTCAGTTGTAGCAGCACCTAACAAATACCAATAATGTCGGACTTTTTGTCAAGTGATACGCTGCCTGATCTATGGAGCGAAATCTTAAATCGTCATTGGGTTTTTTTAGACACGGAGGAGTCCATGCAAAAGCTGGAAGAAAGGAAAAAATTAGAAGGTAAATAATTTCGTTATATTTGATATTTAGATTTCTATATAATATATATATTAATATATTTTTAGATTGTCTGAAAATTTTTCTTAGCATTGTGCCACATGATCGAAAATTTTTCCTGCCAGAGACGGCACATGTACTTAAACAAACTGTACTCAGTAAGGATTTCACAGCATACAATGCAATAATGGGTTTCGAGTCTGTTAGTCAATATGCAAATAATCTATTTGCTAAGCCTTGGAGAAAAGAATATCGTACATTAAAAGTAATATATAATAATAAGTAATTAACTTTCCTTAATTAAAAATTAATTAATTTTATTTTAGATGTATTCAGGGTTTTATAAACATGAAATCGAATCAAATTTAGTTGACGCTGTTAAATTATTTGAAGCAATGGGTTATCGACGAGAATCTAATGAAGTATATGTACTAGAAGGACCCATTTGTCCTGATCAAGTTACAAATGTTTCTCGTGATGCAATGGCCGCGTATATCGAGTGCCAAATAATAAAGTCGGTTTTTACAAAATTATTGCCTTTGGGCTTGAATTGTTCGTGGCAGGATGTGTTTAATTATCGAGAAAAATATCCAGGTTTGCATATATTTAATTAATGTACTATGTGTATAATGTTTAATATAAAAAATTTTTATTAATTATTTCAGTTATTTACCAAAAATAAATATATGCTGAATATATACTGAATATATGAATATATATATATCAGTATATACTGAATATATATAAATATATATATAAAGAACTTTCAGCATATATACTGAAACTTCTCTTAAACAGATTCCCATCATCATAAAAGTTTTGTTCGTTCAAGGGGGGATTCGAAAAGGATTAAGTGGTGCCAACTAATGGATTTAAAAAAATCTACTCAAGAAATTTGTTAAGGAAGTTCTCATCGAATATATATAGATATATTTATATATGTACATGTTTATTCTTAATTTCTGAAATTAATTAAAATTAATTCTGATTTTATAAATTAAAATAACTCTTCAACCCAAAAAAAATAATTTTTAAAGAAATAATTTTACGTACTATCAGTATATCTTCCTGTGCATCCTAACGTGAACTTAAGATTTGTTAGGGTGTGGTTGAACAACGTATCGACTTTTGTGAATAATTTTAGGGCACTGACTCTCATGTTAAAATACAAATTTAAAGCACACTTTATGTTATTTAAATTTTTAGTTCAAAATAAACACAAAATTTGGTTGAATCAATAATATCTGAAGTCTATAAGTTAAACTGGACCTAAATCGATTTTATAAATTTAATCATCCTTTATTCTTCTGACTTGTTTTGTTTTTTTTTTTTGTGGTGAGGAGGTGGAATACTATATGTACCGCCATACTCGGCGGTATGATGTGCCCGTCTCCCTAACATTAATATGTAGTATACAGACTTAAACACCTTCTCTTCAGCGAGACTTATTTTCTCTCGAAACCGCTTTCGAATAACTTCGAGAACGGTCTCTTTTATGTTGGTACTTCAACTCACGTTCTTGTGATTTTTGATCTGCGTTCACACCTTCACTTTTTCATCGCATTTTCTTGGTGTCTGCACTATTTATTAACCTAGTTTCTGATTCTTATTTGTAGATCTAATTTCTTCACTTTGAGGACTTGAATCACATATCACTCTATCCTTCGCCAACTCCCTGGGTTCGCTCTCATCTTTTCCACTATATTTTCAGGATTTATAGGTCCAATCTGTCCTGTTAAGTGAGAGCCATATATTACATTAAAAAAAGGAGTACTCTACGTCTTTTTGTCATGTCTGGTCAGCATCCGAATGAGATAGTAGTTTGTGTCTCCAGATTTCTGTTTGAGTTAGGTTATTAAATTTAGTAACAATCTAGCTGTCCATCTTCCTTGAGTGCTACATTTGCCACATTTCGATGGTGTGCTTCTGATCTTCTCTTGTCATTTGTTGAGTATAGTAGTTGGTTATTTTTTTTTTGGTGTATTCTTTTTGGCGCTCCTTTGCTTGAATATCAATTGGAATTACATCTACTATCAATAAAAACGGTTTCTGTTAGGACAGTGCAATACGCTGATGTGATTCATAGAGCCGGCCTTTTATGCACCGCTATTATTTCTTTTCTAACTATTTCGGTGTCTAGAGCATCTGCCCTCATTTCGCTACCATATAAAAGGATGGCGTTTACTATTGCCATATTCTTTTGACGTTGAAGATATAAGTTTAAATTATAAAATAAGGGCTAACCGATTAATACATATCTTATATTTTACGAAGCAAGCTTACATGCTTACGTTTTTCAATTTTTTTTTAATACAGGCTTTTAATATACATCGTCTCTAAACTAGTTATATAGTAGTATATTTATTATTTTTCAATTTTAGGAGATTCGGCGAGTACTGTAAAGGGTATATCTGACATGATTGAAAAACGCCGTCTGCGTAGAGAAAAGCTGATAAATTTAGGTAAATATTATATATAAATTATTTTAGATTATACATATTAAATATTAAATTAAAAATGTTTTTTTTAGAAGACACTTATGCTACAAATCAACATGTTCCAAGACCGCAATTAGGACTACCAAATTTTAATCCACAATGTCAGAACTGCGCACATTATCACATGACACAACAAATGCTCAAAAATCAATGCGAAATTCATAATCATAATCCAAGATGCGCTATGTGCTCAAGTGCTACACAGTTAAATTCAATGTGCAATAATATGAGTGGGAATAAACCAAAATTTATATCACCTTATCCCGTTGGAAACTATCAACAACATCCTTCATACATGGTACCAGCGCAACCTCATATGTCACATTCTCGCAGTTTGGATCATTACAGTGAACCACATCCACCTTTACCACATCGCCATTCGTTTGATCATCAACAACAGGGTTGCACAGCAAATCACTATCATCAAGTTAATCCTCATATGCAACACCTGTACGAATCACCTTATGATTGCTTGGATGGTGTTAGCATGGGCAGCAGCGCTTCATATGCGGCTGTTGTTGCAGGAATGGCGAATTGTAATTTAAATGGACATCCTTACAATGTGTCCGGAAATCGTTATCCCCTGCCACACAATTTATCATCACATTTAAGTTCGCAGTATTCAATGCCAATAAATTCAAATGGTGTGCAATGTGAACCTTATGATACAGCGGATAATACATACGCTGTAGTTAAAAAACCGAATGATTATGGTTATCGTCATGACCCGCCTCCTCCATTACCACTACATCATCCATCTGCTAATAGCATTCAAAGAGAGCTTCAAACAAATAAACAACGTTCATTTCCACAAGATCAATTGATTTCTTTTGATGATAGAGCTCCTCTCACCTTACACGATTTCCATGCACAGCAAACTTATCCACAACACAACGCTTTTCTAAGTCAACGAGATCGGCCATATGAAATTAAACGAATGAACCAGCAACCATCATCGTCAGCTCAAATCCAATTATCGGATGATTTAAATAGCTCTAATCTATATGCATTACCAGTAGGTACAAGCGCCAAGTGTCGGAGTACAAATAATATGACTGAGAATTATATAAAAAATTCAGACCGTTTACCGGTAAGTATATTTTAAAAGAAATAAGTATTATAAGTATTATAAAATAGGGATTATAATAACTTTATATTTATAATTAATGAACTCATTTTTAAAAATAAAATTGAATCTTGAGTCTAAGAATACAGTAAGTTCAACAAGCTTTATTTTATTCATTATTTTCCTTATAAGTCAAGACTTGGGTTATAAAAGTTGTTTATTATAAAAAAATATAATAAGTTTTTTAATATAATATAATAAAATTTTATATATAATAAAAAAAATTTATGATATAAAATAAAAAAATTTTGTTGTTACATTGTTTAATTATTGACTAATTAATTAATTAATTATATTATACTAATTATATTAATTAGTCAAAATATATTATTGACTAATAATTAAACAATGTAACAACAAAATTTTTTTATTTTATATCATAAATTTTTTTTATTATATATAAACTTTTATTATATTATATTAAAAAACTTATTATATTTTTTTATAATAAACAACTTTTATAACCCAAGTCTTGACTTATAAGGAAAATAATAAATAAAATAAAGCTCGTTTAATTATTGACTAATAATTAAACAATGTGAATAAATAATTAATAAAAAAAAATGATTATAAATTGATAACATATAATAAAATTCATAATGTAACATAATAATAATAATATATATATAAACATAATAATAAAAATATAATAAAAATTTTGTTGTTGATTGAATTCTTCTTGTTATTTTTGGCAAAACTACAATAATACAAATTTTTAATAGATTAATTAATAAATTTTTAATTGTTTTATAGGATCACAAGGACAATAAACGTATAAAGCATATGGAATTGAAAGATCATCTTAATACTTACTTTAATGATAGAAATAATAAAGATACAGAAGTGAACTACGATTGCAGTACACCTGATGATTTTGTGGATATTAGTCCAAGCGATGTACCACAACAATCATCAACATATATATCTAAAAGTAATGAAGGTGTCGGATCTTTTGAAGCATGGAATTATGTATATAAACAATTAGATCGATCTGGATATTCTAAAGATCTGGGTGATCGTGGTGATTTATTAGTGCAGAGCTTAGACTTGGATTCGTTAAAGTTAGAAAATGATAGTACAAGTGGTGGTGAAAAAGGTCGATCGTCTCAAGCAGAAATGAAAACATCACGACAAAATAGCAATGAAAAATCTAGAACGTTGGAGAAGGCTACAACCAAATGTAAACGTGAAAAACCCAATGCAAAACAAGAAAAATCTATATTAAAACAGCAAAATGCTAATTTTGAGGTGGGTGGCAACGCTAGTACAAAGAAAACAAAATCTGCTCTAAAACAATCAATGTCCACGAGCGTCAGTAACAACAACAACATCGATAGCATACGTGAGAAAGCTAATAATGATAGTGCCAAACGCACAATAGACCAAAACAATAAACAACAAAAAGGAAACAAAGCTCGTGGAAACAAAGAAGCAATAATAGCACCTCAGGATATACTCAATAATCCAAACGAATGGAGTTGTTCTTTTTGTACTTTTATTAATCCCGGCACGAATCGCATCTGTGATATGTGTGCTAAAACAAAAGACTCTGGGCTCAAGGCAACCGTGCCGAACAGCAGACCAACTTGTGTGTAAGTGAATGAATGTAAGTAAATTTTTTTTAGATTTTTATATTATTATTTCTATTTGTTTTCCTTTAATGAATACAATTTAGTAAATAAAATAAAAAGAATTTTAAGCGTTTGAAAGCCATAAAATATTTAATAAATTAATAATTTAATAAATAAAATGATGCAACTATTTTCCAAATGCAAAAAATGAAGAGTTATAACCTAATTTACTTAATTATTACCAAAATTACATTTATGATGTTCAATTTATATTTATTGACATATATTTAATTCAATATTTTTAGTATAATCTATAGTTTATATATTGTTTAAAAATGCATCAGAAAAAGGTGAATTTATATTATATGTAATTCTATCTTAAAACTTGGAAGTTGAACTTTCAGTCATTATTTAAATAAATAGAAAATAATTTTTGAAACTCTACGATTGTTAATGAACTTGTCTTAAACAAAAATAATTTTTTAAATAAAATAAAATTAATTAAAAATACATATAAAAAACGACTTATTATAATATGTTTCCATTATGTGCCTCCTATTTTTTATTTATTAACAAAACAAAAAAATATATTTAAACGCCTTTAAGAGTGAAGCAAAACTGTATATAAAAAGGTACCCTGTATATTATTAAAATAAAACTTAAATTAACACTTTTTAAAAATATTAATAAATATTTATAAAACAAAATAACTATATTTTATAATAATTTAAAACTAAATAGTCTTGAATATTTAGAAAGACAAGTAATCGTTAAATTAAAATAACAGAAATGTTCACATAAATAAAAAAGAGCTAAAAGTTTTTTACCTAAAATTTATAGTGAATTATATTATAAGTAATAATTAATATTCTTATATATACACGAGAGAGTTGTAGTAAATGAAAAAACAAAAAAACGAAAGTGGTAATTGAATGCTTTAATAAATACTTTTTAAATATATAAATATTGTGCTGTATATTGTATATCGAAAAGAAATACTACAGAAAAATCTACAGAATTGGTTTTCATTTTTAATTGCAAAAAAAGAAAAATTATTTGTTGTTTTGTAAATATTATTATGCACTTATATTATTAAGTTTTTTTTTTAAATGATTTGTTATTAATTATTGTTTAATTAAAAAAATTCTATTTAAAGCGTTGATAAAACACTACTTTGTTGCTTACAACTTTACAATAACAATTTACAAAATTTTTATTCGAGCGAATTTAGATAACTTCAACGCTAAAATTTTGAAATAATTAAAATTATTATACTTAAAGCTTCCATTACTAAAATAATTACAAAATTATATTAATAAAAAAAATATATTAATAAAAAAAATATATTCAAAAATAATAGAAGACAAAAAATAAAAATTGTGTATGCAATCAAAAAATGCATTAATAATTCTACTTATTAGCAAATTTTTTTGACATCAAAACTAAGAAAATTTTCAAATAAATTTTAAAAAATATTTAATATAATCCGTGTTTCATTTTAATATAACCTTTTTAATTTTATTATATTATTATGTTGAGGCTAGTTCAGTCAGTGCACCTCAGCACTTTTACCCTCTATTAACTGCGAGATTTCTCCATAACCCCTTTTTCCCCTTGCCGGAATTATTGTTTATTATTTCATCTGATCAAACAATAATTGACCTCAGATCTGCATATCTCCCCGAAGAGCCTGTAGCCATCCTGAGATTTGATAACGCGTTGTTGTTAAGTCTGTCAGATTTCGTAAATAATCTCAGCGCTCTATACTTTATGTATTTTTTGATCGGATCAATCTTAAGGTCCCTGAGGATGTCATTCGTCCTAATGTACCATTTCACCTTGAAAAGTCTTCTTAGAGCTTGGCTTTGTGCAATTTCTGACTAGCGAATAGTAGTGTTTGAGGCTTTGCTAAACGCTACAAATCCACATAGAAGTGACTTCATGTACTTAGCATTGAGATTTTCATTTTTGAATAACGGTTGGAGGTGATGAAGAATTTTGGCACAGCTCATTCTTTTCAGTTGAACATGTTCAAGGCAATGTGAATCGTTTGTCCACTGTAGTGCCTATGTGCTTCATAATGTGGGGTGTCCACAGTGCCTGTATACTTCGTAATGCGAGGTGTTAACGATTAAGGAAGAGAAAAATTTTGACGAGAATGAAGTCGAAGTCTGCTAATCCGCTTTTATTTAAATTGGGATAAATCCAGAATACTAATATGGTCCATTTGCGAGAGTCTTATTTTAACAGAAACTGAATAAAAACTGCGTACTAAATTGACTCATAAATTTAAGGATATGTTCACATACTAAATGGTAAAGAAAATAAGAAAATACTAAACAAGACATACATTCATATGGACGAATAAAATTTACATGTATATTTGCATGTATATTAATATGAGTTATTTATCCGGATTAGCACATCAGTGGTCGATTCAGACTAGAAGGCACATAATAAATATTTTGTGTTCTCTAATTTTATTTGGATTACAAGAGAATCTGAACTGGATCCAATCTGGGAACTAACGAAGATCTTTTGTATTTTTAAATCTTTTAGTGAGTTTGCAATCTTATTTAAATTTGTAATCTTTGGTAAAAAGCATTTTGAAGTTGAAGAAACCATAATTTATACAAGTGACAAAATATAACTCTTAAAAACTAGAACCTCAAAAATTAGAACGTGATCTTGCCATACATTGATAGTTCTGATTCCAGAAACGCTTTATTTTTCGTTTTTTTTGGACTTATATTGGCAATAAATTAAATAAAAATAAAAGATTCGTTCCACTTGTTATTATGACTGTTGGAGCAAAACAAGTAAGTCGTTTCCTTAATATTTTGACCCTACATAATGGTTTCAGTAATTTTTAATATAAAATTGAAAACACTTATTGTAATTATATGAAAATATGTGTTCATTTCACACCTCCAAGTCGGGTTACGTCTTCAAGCAAGTTGTTTTTACAGACGTCTAAGTTCCATTCACTCCTCTCCACAAGAACATATGATGCGAGCATGCAAGCCACAGTGATAGTTTATATCAAGCCACAGGTGTGAGACAAACTATCAATATTGATGACTACAACGACGTGACAGTTTTTTGTGAAATTATTTATATGACATGGAAGAAAAGTACTTTCAGTAGGACAGTTTCATAGGTTTCCGACAAATCCTGTTTTGACTTATAAGTATGTTTAAGATGGCTAATACATTTTTAAAACTGAGATCAAAGGTAATTATTATTAGGCAACTTACAAGAAATTTTTATCGCAGACATTGTGGATGTAAGTGTGGATGTAACTTGAGTCCATCACAATTTCTAAAAGATTTTTTTACTATTTTATTTAATGTTTCATGAAATTATAAGATCAAAAATAATCAAACAAAATTTTTGTTTAAGACATTTATTTATTATTAAACATTAACTTAAATTCGACAATGCATTTTTTCCATTTTTTATAAACTTTTACTATAAACTATGCTATATACTATAATTTATATAAAACTAATGTTTTCTGATTCTAAAACAAACTTATTTTACATACTCTCGATCTTATCAATTACAATTTCAAAATCTATAGAAACATATAATTTTTATCAATGATTATAAATCATAAATTATAAATAAAAATAATAATATATATGTATATATAATATATATTAATATATACATATATTGTAGTTCAGATATCTTATATGTATATAATAGAGATATGCACTCTGTCTTGCAAACTCAATGCAAGGTGCACGAAATGCACAGATTGTGTAAGGTTGCAATGAACAACAACAAAATACACGTCCAAAGTTTCTTGCAATTGCTTGCAATCTTGCTATACCTAGACCCATGTATATACAGCTGTTTTGATATCTTCTCTGTTTGTTTCTCATGTGGAAGTGGTATGTAGCAAAAACAGCTGTTTTATTTTGATGTTGCAATTCTGCAACAGAGGTGTTTTCGCACTCTTGAAATTTTAGTACAGCATTCTTGCATTTCATGCACTTTGTAATGACTTTGCAAGGCAGGGTGAATAACCCCATTATTTGATTACAATTTTTTATGTCTTTTGACACGAATTCTATTTTATTAGTAAAAGGAGATTAGTAGTGAAGGGATAATACAATATTTATGTAATATATACATTTATATTATGTATTTTAAACATATATAACACTCATAATTTTTCGATACTAATTACAAAAAACTTTAATGATGTTCGAGAACTCGCTATCTTTTTAAAACTATAACATACGAGAATTCACAATCTTTAAATAATATGTGCTAACATTTGATTTTTGTCCCACTTTTCCTATTTGCAAGAGAATGGTAAAGAAATAATTTTTTATAGATATTGAATAAATATTGTTACTGGATGGGACGAAAAACCCATCCATTTACGACAATGGCTTAAAAAGTGTTATAGCTCCTTTAAAATTAACTATTTCTTGGAGGTTTGGTGAATTTAAACGTAACCATTTAGACATCAGTAATCTGGAATATAGTGGTATTCCGGAACTACAATAAAATGAAACAAAATCTTATCCAAGATTGGGGTTAGAGTTAATACCTTAAAAATATCAGAAGGCATTAAGATTTGATTCGTTGAGTGTGCTCGCATAGAGTGCTCACAATAAAATAATATATAAAGCATTATAGGAACTATTGAGAATTATTGAATTATTATAAGAAATCTTTTATTGTTTTGGATCCAACTTGCACTTACTAGTACATAACAGTATTAACGTAAAGCGATAACAACAAAGTACAGTTCCTTGAAATCGGTTTTGTGGCTTTATTACTAAACCCTCTCACTAAGATATTTGGTTACGGAGTTCGTCACTCGAAAACATAATTAATATTTTTTTTTTATTAATCAGTTTCGATAATTATTAGTTAATATGTTATATTCATTTACAGATCAATGTACATAAGTAAATGTATATATATATACATATATTTATTTATAATAAGAAGATATATATATGTATATATATATATATATATATATATATATTTATTTATAATAAGAAGATAT